ATGACCATATACTTGGCTGGAAACCTGCTCTTAGACATGAGACCTGCTTTTGTCATTGCAAAATTTCAAAATCTTGGAAAAGTCATACCAACCATTGCCCAGGTGTGGCTGGGCACCCCCAGCTTGTCTTACATAAAACTAGCATGCATCCCATCATCAATGGTGAAGCCATCATCAAACATCCGGCGCTTCCAAAGGTCATTCAACCATTTGCTGGAATTGACCGCCAACTGATGAAAAATATTTTATAAAAAATAACCCCATAATATTCCTCCACAGGGAGTTCAACTAAAACGGTCAATGATATAGCGCGTCATAATATTAATAATTTTGTTGTTGAACGGAACCCGGATAAATTACCTGCATAGATGATCCGTTCATCAACTCCGCCGCATTAAACCTCAGACCTCGAAATTCTCAACCTCGTAAATTGTATGATCATCATTCGCTGGCACGAGGTTTTAAGACTCGGGGGAAAAAATAAAACTTGAAACGACAAAAGCTGGGCTTTTTCTCACGGTAAAGAGGTTCATGGACGATGGAACAATGATTCATTGCAGTAACACACACTTCGAGAGAAAAGTGCCTCGACTTCGGGCCAGAGGCATGTATTTAGAAAAGTGCCTCAGGCTATTCCGTAGCTGCTGCAGGGCCAGATCAAGAACTTCAGCTGAACTCCTGCTGGGAGTGACGAAATTGCAGGAGGCTGGAAGAAATGCATAGGAGTCAAAATTTCCCAGGATTTCACAAGAACTGCTTCAAGCACTGTACATGTGGTATAATCTTTTCACAACAAATCTCATCGCAACAAATTATTTTTCAGAACCTTACAACTTTCAAGGTCCCTGCCGCTGAATAGGGAATTTTATTCAAATTGACAAGAAAAAATCAAATTCATGCCGAAAATTCGCTCAAGTCAGGTCGATAATCCGATAAAACCAATAATGTACAGTACAAAGATTAACAGCGCGCCGCTCGGTAACGATCACGTACTGTATCTTTCCGACATTTGAGAACTCTCAAAAACTTCCATACACAGGACCCGAAGACTTACATTTCAAGGTCGTTGTGGTACTTTAGAACCACTCTTCCGCATGTAATACATGACGTAGAACCAAAGGAATGTTGGAGACCTGTGACTGGTCACAATCCCGAAAAACTAGAATCGTCATCATCGTTCCAAGCAGAGCTCAACGCGTGTAATGCATGTTCACCGTCCGACAGACATGGGAATTAAAGCCCCAGACAATACCCAAGAGAAGAATCGCCTTCCAAGGCCAAATTTGATCAAAACAAAATAGGGTCTGAATTTGAACTTCCAAGTACTGTACAGTAGTGATCAAAGCACATCAGCACGACGAAGAAATGAGAGTCTCAATTGTAACGAGTAGCAATTATAAGAACAAGTATCGTAGGATCCGCTTCAAGGAAGAGAAAACATTACGATAGCAAGTCTCAAAGGGTTTAATTCGGCCATAATACCGTCAAGCTATTAAGAACACCACTTATTACAACTCACGCACTCACAATAAGTAAGGCTTCGTTACTCAAGTCACCACTTTGAAAATTCACTATCGTCAGCAGATGAGATCACGACGATGAAGCACGTAAAAAGCAACAGAAACTGACGGTTTCGAAGAGAATTGTCTCAACATAGAACTCGTTCCGAAGCTTTCATAGTGTGAATTTCAAGGCATTGATCGAAATCCAAATACTGTATATCGGAAGCTTTTCTGATTCTCATCGGGACCTTCAAGCAATCTTCATCAAAATGCAAGTGAGAACACCATGCACACGTTCGAAGAAACTGAATAAATTCACGCAGACTCAGTATCGTATACCCGTGCCGGAAAAACTCATCTCCGCACTTCGAAAACGAAAAATCGATCGCTTAAGAATAATTAAGTATGAACTCGTCGATCATAAATGAGGCTATAGCTACTCAGAACTTGTTCATCCGGTTCAATCGATCATCACTCCAAAACGTTAACGGAATACACAAGCGACTTATTTTTCAGGCGCGCTGGGACCCATATAAGAATAACGTACCGAACCCCACGCCATCGTTCACTCATATAGCCCTCAGAAACACGAACTTCTTCATCAGATACCGGATACACCTCTTGTCATTAAAGAAACACTACACTCGACAATCTCCGCCACTCAATCAGCATTTCGATCATTCTTCAGACAAGCCGCAGCACATAAGCCACACGCCGTAATAAGCACCAAATGAATGCGTCCGCCGAGGTTTGAGGATGGATGAGCAGAAACCACGCAAGCGTGTACAAGATCCATGCGTCAACGCGCGAGTGCAGAATGTGCCAACGTCAGGATGCCAGTGTTGCCGGATGACCTTGGGTATGTTACTTGTCCAATACATCACTGCTGCATGATGTACGTGTATCGTTTTGTCATGGCGGCACAAGTACCATACACAGTATTGTATACATGCACTCAGTGTACATGATATCATCTATGCTTTTTGGTTATTAGGCTGGAAGGCAGAAACCTAATAAAATACTTCGGAAGATTACCTGACATAATTTTTTATTGTAGTTTGCACAGTGGGGGCCCCAAGATGCGGATGTAATTGGTGCTTGGACCATGCCCCAATGTTGTAATGTTGGGATGTCCAATCACATTTCCTGATGCATTCTTGAATGGGGACAACTTTAGAGTTATTGATTCTCCTATTTAAAAAAAATTATTATTTTAAAATTATGAAAAAGGTCCCCAAATATTGAATAAAATAATTGGTCTCAACATCAAGATACAGAAAATTATGTGCAGAAAAAACCACACAATCTTTTGTCCTGGAAGGCCCCGAAATCCAAGAGAGCAAAAGTCAATCTTCATCATATACTCTGCACATACAGTAATATGGAAAAAGCTTGGAAAAGCGCACAATTAGCCTCTTTTAATTAAAATTTCAATTAAAATTAATTATTTTTTTGAATATTACAGCTACATTTCTTCAAACAATATCAAAGTTTTGACAAATTATAATATTCCATTCATCTAGAAGTGCTTGTCAAGTGTCTGTATCTTGAGACCTTGCCCAGGTATTATGGCAGATTTTGGAGTTTGAAATGTCCCTGAGTCAAATTGTCTGTATGTTGGGGCATCAGCATTTCTGGACCTCACTGCCTGTTTCCTATTTCTCAAATCAGTTATGCATCAAGTGGATAAAGAAATTAAGAGTACCCAGCCAGTTTATTGAATATAGTACACACTGCACTGTGCAGAAAAAAAAGGTTTATTGCCACACTTGCTTACTAACAGACACATTAAATTTCCTCCATTCAGAACATGCTAGTGATGCTGATCAGTATTGGGTCCAGAAAGCAGGAATCTAATTAAGGATTCATTCTGAAATTTTTTGGGTCAGAAATTTACTTGTTTCTGTGGTTCTCCCTTCTCTAAATCAATTAGGCGGATGAAGAAAGGAAAAAAAGTAGCCAGCCAATTTGAAGTCAACCCTCTGTCCAGTAGAAACAAAGTATGCATGCCATATTTTTGGTGCAATACCTAACATGATTCAGTTGGAGTTGAACTTGGATAATTTGAACTGGAGTCAAATGATATACTGTATTTACGCGAGTACCACACGTACCTTTTTTCTGGAATTCAAGCCAGAAAAAAGGGTGCGCCGGGTACTCCAGGATAAAATTTTGATCCAAAATTTTTGGAGAACCCTGTGCGCGGCGTATGGGAGTACAGCAGATTGAAAAAAATTTGAGCAGAAATGCGTGGTGCCCAGTCTTGTCGTTTGTGAGGGAATAATCGGAGATGGGCTGACAATTTAGAAATATTACTTTCAAGCAGGACAGCAGTTTTTTCTGGATTAATCAAAAATTTTATCTGAGAGGCAACAGGAAGTAAAGGATGGAAAAATTGCCATCTATAATAGAGGAAGATGCTATTAAATCCCAGAATATTTTACTGCTCCTTCAATGGACAATAAAAATGAGGAAGCACAAAAAAGTAATGCTGAAAATAGATACAAACAGGATAGGAATAAGATTTCACATCTAGACCACTGAAAATCAGTTCACTGCCAGGATTTGGGATGGACAGAGGCAAGCATCTACGTCTGCGTTCTTTTACAGCTAGTGAGAAGTTGAAAGTGGTCTCAGAAGCTGAAAAAGTAGGAAATGTGCTGCAGGACAAAAATTTGATGTATCTGAGTCCTGTATTTGAGGATGGAGGCAGCAGAAATAAAAACTTCTATCATGCAACAAAAATCAGCGTGCATTTCGAGGAACACAGGCAAAATTTCAAGATGTTGAAGTGGCACTTGCTGATTACATTAAAGACAGGCGTCAACATGGATTTGCTGTATCAAGTGAAATGATTCAAATGAAAGCCCTTGATTTTGCAAAGGAACTTGAAGTGCCCTTGCCCCAGTTCAAAGCAAGAAAGGGGTGGATTACACGCTTCATGAAGAAAGACAATCTATCCATCTGATGTTGCACCACCATTTCTCAGCAACTTCCAGAATCTTATGAAGAGAAATTACAGGCCTTCCAAAGGCATGTAATTTAGTTGAGATGGGATAAATCATATCTCATGGGACAGATTGGAAATGCAGATCAAACACCAGTTTATTTTGAGAATCCCTCAAATACCACTGCAAATGCCATTGGAGATCAAAGTGTGCCAGTGAGAACTGCAGGCAGAGAAAAGCAGAGGTGCACTGTTATGCTGACAATTCTTGCAGATGGCAAAAAACTTCCACCTTACATAATTTTCAAAAGGAAGACCTTGCCAAAAAATGAAAAATTTCCAAGTGGAGTCCTTGTCAGAGCTCAACAAAATGGTTGGATGGACAATGACCTGGTGATTGATTGGTTGAAGTGTGTGTGAGAACATTGCCCAGGAAGTCTCTTGAAGAAGCCAAGCATGTTGGTTATGGACAGTTTTTGTGGCCATTTAACTGATGGTGTTAGAAAACAGTTAAAAAAGGGGAATACTGATCAAATGGTGATTCCTGGGGGCATGACTTCACTGCTCCAACCTCTGAATGTGTGCATCAATAGGCCCTTTAAAAGTCATCTCTCTAGAATGTATTCTCAATGGGCTGCAAAAAATCTGCATGATAAAACACCAACTGGGAAAATTAAGCCCCCAACCTTGAAACAAATGTGTGAGTGGATAAAAGCAACTTGGAAACTTATTCCTGAAAATCTTTTGGTTAAAAGTTTCAAAAAGTGCTGTATATCCAATAATCTGGATGGGAGTGAAGATGATGCTGTGTGGGAAAGCAGTGATGATGTCAGTAGCAGTGAACAATCCATTGGGTCATCTGATGATGATCAAGATTGATTTTGATCTGCATGGTAAGCCACAAACAAGTCTATTGCTAGTTATTGCCTTAATACAAGGCAATTTTTTTCTCAGGAGAATTCTTCATCATGCTGGCCACTTGCAGCAGTGGGAGAACTTTACTTTCAATTGTGCAGTGAAATCTTGTGTACATTGTGGTGAAAGTATTGAAGAAAGCATCTGAATTAGAAATACTACTGCTATTTCATTCCATTTTTATTTCTAAAAATTATTCTCAAAAATATAGTTTAGCCAGCCAAAACTGGGGTGCACATTGTACACAGGGATATCTTTTTGGGCAATTTTCACCCCAAAAATCTGGGGTGTGCACCTTACTTGAGGGAGCATGGTACTCAAGTAAATACAGTACCTCCCTATGTCAAATTTTTTCAAGTCCCAGTCTGAGTTCCCTTTGAAAACATACATTAAAAGCCTCCTAAACTAGAAGGCTTTCCCTCTGAAACCTCCATAACTCAAATTTTCTGGAAACCTTTGTCTGATATTTTATTGACACAGGAAAGAGAAAAGCAATAAAAATGTAACTTGATGCATTTTGAAAGGAAGTGAGAGACAAAGTGCTAGACAAATGAACACTTGCCTCAAAGTTCAACATGCATTCTGTCAATTCATTAGATTTTTGAGTCTGAAAAAATTTCATGAAACTTTGCCAGTCCACATGCAGTAAAATTTTGAGGAATTTGCCAGTCTGCAAACGTTTTTTTGGAAATTTGCTGTTCTATGGTCCCAAAAAGGTTGGGGAACACTGCTGTATAATGTCAAAGGGTTTCAAACCTTGATCCTGTGCAAATGTTTTCTGACCTTGGCAATCAATGAAATTGCTGGTATGAAATCAAGGGCTTCAAATATAACTTAGATTATATTCTTGTAATTTCAGAAAAATTTTGAGAAAGACTGATTGGATGCATATGGCTGACTTATTACCAAGTTTCTTTCATCTTCTCCTGCTGCATTCATCCATTTTTCCTGTCAGCATTTCTGGAATCCCCAACAAAAAAAATGTATTCCTGGTGAACTCAGAAAATTTACCACTGCCTGAATAAAAATTAGTGTTCCTCATGATTGTGATACGGAGATCCAACTCAACTCTTATCGAAAAACATTGTGTAAAATCTCCCAGCACACACAAAAAAATAAATATATATAATTGCCGTGGGACTGGGATCAACTTCTGGATTATAACTTTACGCCAAAGATTCACCGGGTATTTCGCATTTTGGTCTGCAGTAGCCAGCACCTGACAATCTATATAGATGTGTCGCAAATCTACTTTTTGAAACCCAAGGATATAAAAGCTTTAAATTCGAAAACAAGCTCGAAAACGAAAGTTTCGTCGTGAAATATGCCCAAGAAGCGGATTATTATTCCTACCCGCCATTCTCTGATTATCTCGATTTTGATGACGATTTGGCTGATGACTTATTTCGCCGTGAATAAGCTTCTGCCAATCAGTTTTCTGAACGATGCGGATGTGTCAAAATTATTTTTGGAGCAAGCCACGCAACACTGCAATTTCAAAGGGCTAAATTTGAACTCGAAGCCGAGTTCTGATGAAGTGAGGAGCATGGAAGATGCTGATTTCGTTGCATACATTCGGAGAAACGTGCTAATTCAGCTGGAAAGTGACAATATTTCAAACGCGGATCCTTCCAGTGGCAGAGGCTTCACTTCTAAATTATTAGTTCCGATTTTCTTCAGAAAGGTAACCTTTTTGATTTTATTTTCAAAATAAAATGTCGCTTTGTTAGCTTTATTCTTGCTGTTTTATTTCCGGAATTTTTTTTTTTGCAGATGGAGGAATCTCGAGGGAAATTCTTTGAAGCTGGGGCTTTGGATGGCATTTTTCATTCCACTAGTTTTTACTTGGAACAATCCTTGGGATGGCAAGGGATGTTAGCCGAAGCTAATCCCAGAAAGATTTCTGAAATCACGGGGAAATCCGGAAGGAAGGCTGTTCTTGCCCCTGTTTGTATTTCTCCTGAACCCAGGCCTTGTTTGGTGAGCAGAGCATATTTTAAAGATTATGTTGCTGTGCTTTGTGATTCTGACAATGCACTTCCACGAATTTCTGGCGAAATTTAAAATCATGCTGTGAAAAATAGTATTGCGCTGTGTATGAAATAGTGTGCAGTTCCTGCTGGTGGAGGCTTGAATAACTATAGCAAACCCATTGCTTGAGCTATTTTAGATGTAATGAACTTGATTTCAATAAAGAAATTGGTCACATTTTTCTGTTTCTCAGATTCCAGAATGAGTGCCAGTTTGTTTCAGAACTTATTTATGACATAGTTCATAACTTTTTTATCCTTTTTTCATATCTTAAATTCTTAATTCCATGGTATAAGCTGTAACATTGGCAATACACTAAGGGTAGCCCGAATTTGGCCTTTTAGTTTAATAAGTGTAAATAAGATTCATGGAACTGTTGGTTAGTTTGGGAAGGTTTACCTCAGGATCTCCATTTGGGTTTTAATACTTTTAATAGGGATTCTGACCATATCTTTCTGAAATTTTAGAAATGAAGATACAGTCAACCCTTGCTTAATGTTTTTAGTTGGTGCAGTGGGAAAAAAACGTTAGCTGAAAGAAAACGTCAAGCAAGGTAGTCTCTCCCTTAAGATATAAGGGAGAAACGTTTAATTGGTGTCAGGCAAAATTCTTTAAAGGTAAAATTCAGAAAAAATTAATCAAAGAGTGTATTCCAACAACTGAGCTTTACGCACTGCCATTACATTCAAAGAGTAACCGCAGTTCTTCACTCAAATAAAATCAGAGATTCATTTTAATGACACAAAAAGTCACTCATCAGAGTCACTTGAGTCATATGCCCTCTTGCAGGGCTGAGATTTGTTCATAAAATGCAATTGTTCATAAAATAATTGTAACACCACACAACCACACAGGAAACACATTTAAAGCTGTGGAAAAAGTCACACTCAAGAAAATGTACAGGAGCAAGGGAGGGAGGCATCCACATTGATCATGCAGTGCTGCACAACTGCAGAACGTTGTGCAGATTTTGGAATGTAAAGCAAGGGGATTTTTCTCATAGGATCGGGAACATTATGCAAAAAAATATTCAGCAAACAGAATGTTAACCAAGGGTTGACTGTATGCCCAGTGATATCAGTCAAGTCACTCAAGTGCAATAGAAAATATTCAATATAAACACAAAGAGATTCCACCCAAAATGTACATCATTCAAACAGCTATTTTAGAAAGACTGTTTTCTTCAGAGAACTTTTAAAAAATTCAATAAAGTCTGCCAATGAAAATAATTCAAAGTCCAAGTTGGGTTAGCAGTTGATTGGTTATGGTGGTTTTACTTGATTAGGATATCCTGGGTTATGATGTTCACTCCTGCAATGTTTTTCAACAAATTTCAAAAATAAATTACATTACATTTTAAATTATCTATTGAAAAATCTATTCAGTGTATGCACAAAAATAAGTCATCCAAAATTCAGACCATGTACTGTATTCAGATATTTTATTACAGAAAGATTATCTTCAGTGCCACCCATGTGGAAAGTCCAATGTCCGTGCATTAAAATGATTTGAAGATTAGGACTTTTGAGTTAAAAAAAATTTAGTATCTACCAATGTTTCATTGGTTTGCTTTCATACAAGGGTACATATGCAGTATATCATCCATCTGCCAACCAGCAAGAAGTGCCCAATTGGTACTCTTGGTATGGAGGTCTTCAGCTGGACAAATCCAAGATGAAGAAAATGGGCAGTGGATGGAGAATGAGCAGAACTCCTGTGGAATGCTTTCCCTTGTATTCCATACTTTTGGCTGGGAATTCAACAGAATTAGATTTCCTTTCTCTGGATCTGGAAGGAACAGAGCCCTGGGTTCTATCCACTGTTCCTTGGGAAAAAGTGAAAGTAAAGGTGAATACATTACATTCAGTTATATTTTACCTGAAAATGCATACATTTTCTTATTCATCCTTTCATATAGGTGATTAGATTGGATCTTCATGAAGATGAAAGAAGAAATTCAACAATTGAGTATCTACTTTCCAAAAATTACAGGTTTCATCCAGAGCTGTTGAAGAATGCATATGCTAGTGAGAGAGATTCTCACATATTTTCAAAGATATAATGTGATATTTTATGAATGTGGCAGCAACCTTAATGTTTACAGTTAAAAGCTTGTTTTAAATGCATCTGAAGTTTTGCATTTAAAATGTTTGTCAGCTAGGTAAATTTGACTTTTTCCAGCTGCTTCTTTTTGGTTTTCTTTTTTCATGCATTATATAACAATCGAAAATACTTTTGTCATGTAAACAATACAATATTCACAGATGACAGCATTTAAAGGATGAGAAACGAAACATTTCATTGCCAATCTCCAATGAATATGTGTTGGTACCTTGAATGGAAAGTTTAATCATTGAGAAACTAACTTAAGGTGCTCTCTTGTTTTTTTTTGTGGCAAAATGCTGGAGAAAGGCATATCGTGTACTTTTGGGCGCTTTTTCAATATAAACTTACAATAATGTAACTTATTGATTGTATACGTTATGTTGAGTCATGTTTGCTGTACTAGTGTACTTTGAAAAGCGTTTGGTTCCAGAATCTGAGATTTGTATAAGCATGAATCAAAGAGGGAACATTCGGCTAATGTTGTAGGTTCGGTTATTGCGTACTTTGCGTAGCAATTTTTATGACAATATTGCAGTTTCATTGCTCAAGTTTCATGATAACATTTTCCACATTGCGAAAACAGTGGATATTTGGTAGCAGTGTTGAACGCTTAATAAACCCTTTTTTAATGCAGCGATGTTCCTTCATGTTCTTCCATTAACATCGATAAAAAGAAACTTCCTGGAAAAAGTTGATCCATAATTTTTTTTTTATTGTTGCAAGTTACAGCAGACCCGTCGGGTTTGTGTCAAGTATTTTACTCTTGACACATGCTTAATATTTTAAAAATGCAATTCCATCTTAGTTTACTTCGGGTAAAATTTTTGAAATCTACGCTATACAGTAGTTGCAGAGAAGAAGAACTTCGTTTCTGCGAAAATGTCAGTGGAGCCGGAGGCCGGATGGACATCTAGGAAACATTTATAGGACGAAAGGTTCTGTAGCTCTATGAATTACACTAGGTGTCGCTTCTATCAAACATCAGTCCGGCCAAATGCTCGATTGATGAAATTAAAGAAAATTTGTCGATCAAAATAACAATCTATTTCGTCCCCCGAGAAGTTCGCGCAATTGCTCTCCTAATCAGAAATCTTAAAGCTACTGTATGCATTCACAGTCGATTACTATTAATGTACAAGCCTCATGTGTTTTGAGGAATGAACGTTTATAGAAAGTACGGTACAGTTCAGTACACGCATGAAATACTTCGCAGATACTGTATATTATTAGCTTCAGCAGGGATTTATGAAAAGTTTTCATCGCAAAGATTGGTGAGAATGTTCATTTTCCCACCTTAGTTCGTAATTGAATATATTTTATTCAGTAAATTATTAGTCCTCCGATTGCAATTTAATGATAAAATATTTTACTGACCCAGGTTTGACATGAACTCTCACCTTCCAAAATGCTCCTCTCCTACTGAGTCAATGAAATAATTGTATTGAATTTTTACATTGTCCCATGCACAATCTTAAAAATTAACTTGAGCTTACTTTTATAAAAACCAGATATAATTTATAAAGAAAAGCAGAGATAATTTTATTTTCATTTCACACTTCACCCTAACTCCAAACAAAATTTTGAATTGAGTTCTTAATCGAATCCCCATTTATGTCAAGTTTTGGAAATTTCTCCAAAGTCTTCCATGTTGCTTATGTATACAAATTGTCCTTGATCCGGGTTTACCTGTGAGGAATTAAATCGAAGCGATTTCGCGATATTTTTCAAAACAATTTTGACTTGAAAATAATTTCCAACACACCCAGCTGGAACAAATGGCTCCAAGTTTCATGTCCCCGCCAGGCAAAGAATACCTCCTGATGATACTGGCCCTGGAATTCAGGCTGGTTTTGTCAACATTTAGTAAAATTGCGCCTGATGCACATGGAACACTCCAAACACCTCTGTGGGAAAAATACAAACATTTTTTTATACTGCCAATAAATTGTTCAGTGAAAATGTTTGAATAAGCGTCAGAAAAAAACATCCGAGATTTGCCAGACATTCAATTGTCCTTTTTCACTCAATTCACTTGAACTCCTCTTGAGTTTTCAAATTACTTTTCCTTCCAATTTCTTTTCGAAACGCTTCTGAACTGGCAACCATGACGCAAACGATTTGAAAACAATTACAAACTGATTACAAATGAATGTTTATACAGATTATATGTATGTTAGATATATTTAAAATTTTGCATTCATCGAATACCTCTCGACACAACGTTTGGCAATCATAGAAGTAAATAAATCAAAATTTCCACATACAATGACTTTCAAAACAGTCCTAAAGTTTACACACGAAATAAAGACACGGTACTGTATTGGTAAAATATTTGGGTCAATCACTTATACAGAGTTCAAAAGAATTGCAGCGAATTTATTCGGATATACGTACGGAAATATTGACTCGTTTGTATTTACCTTTTTCTTGCCAATAACAAGTCCGATGTGTCATTTTGTTTGAAAACTGGAGGATTCCGAAGTTGAGATAAAGGTTGAAAATTATGCACCGAAGATTCGTTTGATACCGTCAGCATGGGCGCAATAATAGCTCTGAAAAACAGGATAGCACATAAATTATTTATTCTAATATTTAAAAAAATCCAAAAATTTCGCTGATACTGCATTTTATTCAGAAATTACTGTAGCAACAAAGTTCGATTCAGTTACGACACATTTCTCGTAATTAACCTGTTTTGTTCGACGAGATGAATCAACGTTTGTGGATTTCGCAGCAGCACTTGATGGTCGACAAAAAAGTAGAAGTCTGTTCTGAAAGGATTGTCTTCGTTCCTGATGGAGAAAAAAAAACCAAGCAGTCAAACGAAAAAAAAAGCAAAAAGTTTTGAACAATGAAATGCATTCGAAAAATGAAGTATACTTGCATGGGGAAAAGTTTCTGTGCGTTTGATTCCCGATAATCGCTTACGACAGCTTTGTAACCCAAGGGTTTGAAGAGCTTTTTGCCAAGTTTTCTAGCTTCTTTTACTGCTTCCGGATCATCGGTGAACTGAAAGAAACAAGAAATACTTCATCACAGAAAATTTGATTTAAAGATGAATTTCATAATCTCACTGTTATGAATTGTAGGGTTATTTTTCTCGTTGGATAGTTGAGATTCCTCAGAAATAATTCCAAACGCTGGCGTATGTCTTTGACGTACGGGGGGTCCAGTACAAAAGCCATGGTGACAGTTGGCCACTCGTCTGCCTGTACAAGGATTTCCGGAAAATAAACAGTACTGTAGATTCTATGCTGTACTTCAAAATACAGTACATAATTCCATGTACGGTTTTCCATGAAATGTGCTTTAAATTTGAAATGCCTCAATCAGAGGAAAACAGAAAAATGGCTACATATTTTTGTCACAGTAAACTTGGTAACATTCCAAGTATGTATCAAAACATTCATTGAAAGCTGACAAAGATCCATGTTTGGTTTCTCATCCTTCTATTCCTCGTACAGTCTCTGTTGTTATTTTCCTTCCTATTTTACTTTGGCTAACTTGAATTTTTCTTGAAATATAGTATTTGCTGTTTTTGGGAAATTCATGATGTAATATTTTGCTTGAAGAATAAAAAAATTCGAATCCTTGTCAGCAAGATTTTCTTAAATTTATTTTTATTTGGGACTCTTAATACAGGATGTCCTGCACAATGGATTTTTGCACAACAGAAGCTGCCACTGAAGACAGTTTTCCCTTCCATGCAATGGAATAAATCTGCATAACAGACTTCTCTTGGTTTAAAATTGATGGTAAAAGTAAAGTTTTTAATTTTTTAACCCTTGGACAGCGGAGGGTTCTTTCCCATCGCCAGCCAAAATTGGATTATTTTCTTATGCTGGGGCATTTTAAGTTTTCTGAAAGTCAGAAAAGACCTTCCAGGTGGGCTGAGGCAAAGTTGGGATTAATCCAAGAAAAGCACATTACGTATAGCATAGCATTTTTTTCATTTTCCTACAAAATTTTTCTGTGCAAAAATAAAAAAGCATCGGATTTTTCCATAGAATTACGTTACACAATTTTTAAGTGGCGGTTTGTGGAAGAAATATTCTTTGTAATTCCCTGAAAAAAAATTTTTGCCGCTTGAATTTGAATTAGTGAATACATTTTCAACTTCATAAGAACATTTGGAGCATTCAATAGTGTATCTCTGTACTGTATACTGAAATTTTGGCATCTACAAAAATAACGTTCAAGTTAAAACAAAGTAGAAGTCCCTCTCTGCTGGAGGTACTTTTTTTAATTAGCTAAACGGATGGTACATTGGTGAGAGAAATGTCCAAGAAAACTTTTCTTACATCAATTTTAGGCCTGGAAATATTTGTTTCTTGTAATTTGGCGTGAAATGTATTTGCAATTTTATCACAAAATGTCCCTATGTCGAGTCAGTTTACTCATGTCGGGCCTTATTCATTGATTTTTTCTGGGAAAATGAGTGCCCCTATGTCAAATTGTCCGCATGTGGGGGTCTCACTGTAGAAACCACTGTACAGTACAGTACGGTATGTATATTTTTCTATAATCATGGGTAAAAATAAATAAATACAATCATCACAAGAAACCTTCCCAGGGACTTCCAAAAGGAGAAAATTTATTTTCTTTGAAACGGATGCTTTCAGAGGCACGAACGTTTACCTTTTCGTTTCATGCACAAAAAAAAGAGGAAGGAACGGAAACGTCAAAATTGCATGCATTGAAACGAAGCAAAATTTGTCAGGGGAAAACGAGATGAAATTCATAAGTCGAAACACAGGACGGGTTCAGCAACGAAAACGAGAGAAAAAAACTGGTTTCAAACAAAAAAAGGGGAAAAATCAGGACGACGTGGTTTCGACGTAATAATACTCACGACAGCAAATGCGTTCGTCGGTGTCGGTGTCGAGGGACCCTGATAAACCCCACCACGTCAACAGGAGAGTCGACAGATATGAACCGAAAACCGAAAGAAACGATAAGAACAGAGAAAGAGAAATAAAAAAGAGAAAAAAAGTCCAACGCAAACCACGGTTAATAACCACATTCCTCAAAAAATGAGTCACAATTTTCAGCCCCAAAAAAAGCGGCTTCTTCTCAAGAGCAACCGAACACAAATTCAAAAAATGAGAACGGAAATAAAAATACAAAATCGCAATATTCTCCTGATTAATATTTCTTTCCCAATTCGACCTCGAGAAGCAAAAAGTAATTTATGAACGGATCTGAGAAATCCCAAGGGGAAAAAGGTTTTCTTGAATCTCAAGATTATACAAAAACATGCTTTTGAATGACTTGTTCGCTATACCATGAACAATATCGCAATAAAATGACGCTTGCACAAGCACTCCAATCAACCGAGTGAATGCCCTGGAGAATTCGCCCAGATAATCATATCTTTCAAGGATAATCAAACACAGATACATTTCTTCAACATAAAAAATTATACGATGAAGTCTTGATATTATCGACGATTTCAGTAATCTCGAAATGCATTAGCGCAGATAATAACTTGATAAGTCACATTATCACACGGGAATGAAGCGGCTCAAATTAAAATTACAGTACCAGTCCGCTTCAACTTCCTCGCATTAAATCAAATTTCGAACTCAATAAACCGTAGCTCGATAATACGGCAAATATTCTACTTTTATTTTTAGCCTCGGAGAAACTGCATCAATGCTCGTTCAGGTGAGCACATACAATTAATGAAAAATAAAAGTTATGACACCATTCGAAACAATTTCTAAAAATAAAAAAGAGCATTAGGCAGAGATTTTCGGACCTTCGAGCAGTCGAAAGCATCAGGCTATTGCAATAGACTTCAGGCCAACACGTGACAAAATTAAAACGAGCAACAGAAACACAGAATGAAAATGATGCATTAAAAAAAAAAAAACCTTGGCATAGCCCTCAGTTTCGTTAAAACCATCGCCGACGTGGGCATCGAGAAAACGACGCGGTTTGGGGCAAATCTGGCGGGTTTCATTTCCGGGCGACCAAAATCCTCCAGGGTCCAAACCACATTTCATCCACAGTCCGGACCCAGAGAAGTTCTCCTCGTCTCCCTTCTCGATCAAGTCCAGGGGAAACAATATTAAAGCCTTTCCTCTGCAGTTTTTCCCATTAGAACCTCATCAAACTCTATATCCAACTTCCTTGAACTTTCTCAAAACTTGGATTCATTGATACTTCAACGCGGGAAAATTGGCCAAAACGATTAAGACACCCAAGGAAAAAATTTTCGATTGAACGATCATACGACTTGCAAAACTGGCCTTTCTTCAGAATTTAGACACTCGAAACCCATTTTCAGGAAATTATTGACGTAAATGTCTGCAATACTATCTTCACCTGAAGTTCAGAACTCACCAAACTTTACATCGGAAACCCCAGCACTGTTTTTACACTTGGCACAACTGATTGATTCTTCAGCATGGGAAAATTGTTCAGAAATATTGTAACATTAATTTTCAAGAAAAACCTTTTGAAAATATAATCACAGGATTTGCACAACTGACCTTTCTTCAGATACTCGAACCTCATTTTTCAGAAAATCCGTTGCGTAAAGGTTCGCAAGGTGAAGTATTTCCAACGTCAGAAGTTCAAAACTCATAGAAATTTAATTCGAACATCCCCGTGCTTTTTTCACACATGAATTTATTGATTCTTCCGTCACGGAAAAATCGGTCAAAAATATTGGAACACCTATTTTTACGGAAAACATTCCGAATGAATATCCACAAGATTTACAAAACCAACCTTTCTTTTTCTTCAGACACGCAAACCCCACTCACTGCATAAATGTTTGCATTAATTTCTAAACAGAAACGTAAGTAAAGAACTTCAAGGACTTGTCAGGAAATCGCTTGACTTAGCGGAGAACACGAATCAATACTATAATTACCAACTCAATTGATCGAACGACCTTCGAGAACTAATTGAACGCCAAACACAACCGCGAATGAGAGTGTGTGCGATGCACATGGACGATCTAAAATGAATTATCAACAAAGAATTGCATGCATTCGTGATGTTCTTTCCTATGTGATTAAGCTAATAATATTAATCATCATGCGCTGCGTCACCCGGTGGCACACCTCATTCCGAGCATGCTTATCCGTTTTCATGCCNCAATACTATAATTACCAACTCAATTGATCGAACGACCTTCGAGAACTAATTGAACGCCAAACACAACCGCGAATGAGAGTGTGTGCGATGCACATGGACGATCTAAAATGAATTATCAACAAAGAATTGCATGCATTCGTGATGTTCTTTCCTATGTGATTAAGCTAATAATATTAATCATCATGCGCTGCGTCACCCGGTGGCACACCTCATTCCGAGCATGCTTATCCATTTTCATGCCAACCCTTTCATCAAATAATTACAAATTCCATTCAATGCAGCCGAAGTTCTCTAACGTCGCAGATTTCAACGTGAACAAAGCTAAAGAAGTAAACTTATTCAAACACAATAATTTCCGTTCATTAAAGCTTTAGAATGTTGACCCTGAAACGAAACACTCGTGACGATAAAGATGCGTTGAGATCAGGTAGGTTTTCAAGATAATTTTTCTTTTGTTCGGATTTACATTACGAGCATCTATCAAGAAATCCAAACATCTCGATAAATTATGCACTTATATTCTGCTCGAAAAAATTATACATGTTATCCAGGTGGATTTTTGAATCCAAAACCACTCTCACCTTGTTGTGACCTCAACCACCGAAAAAATGAAAATATGAATACAACCGGAGAAACGTACCGAGTGTGTGGCTGACGAGTGAGACTTGGGTTTTGATGCTGCAACGAAAGCCAAGTATTGAATGACCTTCTTCGTGTTCTCGGTCTTGCCGGCACCAGATTCACCAGTACACAAGATCGATTGATCTTCACGCTCTGTTTCGAAGAACAAAAGAAAAACATAAATAAATTTCAAAATCTTCATTGTCCCCAACGAAAGAAAATTCTGGCACGTTGTAACACAATTTTCGGCTCCCGAGTTTAACGTGGATTTTAAAGCTGCTCAACAACCGGATTTTTTCTGAGACACTGAGCGCGATACGAACAATGAATTTCACACTGACTTCACAGGAAAATTTTTCAAGGAAATAGCTGCGAAACGCAGCGATAATTATTTGATATCATTCGATACTTCTCGCAGCCAAGGTAATAATAGAAACCTGAACAATGCACACGAAGAACCACTCAAAACGGTTGAGTACTGTTCTTTACTTCCAGTAATCCTGAATTTTCCCTCTCATCATGTGGTACTGGTCCCATTTGAAAAACAATTCACAATGAAAGTGAAGTTAATTATAAAACAGCACCGAGGAAACTGCGATTCTTATTCACGGGATTCTCAAATTTCAGAAAAAAAAGAATCTTAAGCCGAAATCCAGTGAGCAACAGAGAATTATGATTTTTCAACTTTTCAAAAGAATGTAGTTCGATTCTGCTCCTATAGAATCTACACATATATAGCTTCCACATATAGAATCTATCTCAAATTTGAAAGTGTCGGAATCTCATAGGACCGAAGAGAAACTGTTGCAACGATGACTCAGTTAAATAAGAGTTTACATATTGTAATTTGCAGATGATAAAAAGCAAGCCGTATTTCTCGCATAGTTGATTCGGAGAACTGATCAGCAACTTACGATCCCCGCTGCTTCTGAAAGTATCACCGAGCAGGTAATTTTAAAGTTCACCGTCAAACACAAAGCAACACCTAATTTGCCGAATCGTATCAAGTCATCTCAAGGGTAACCCCTTGAATTCCGTAATGCCTTACTACAACATTTAAATGGGGAAAAAATTAAAAAGGTCTCTCAAAGAACGCGCTCAGTTTTACTCAACGGCATTCGATAATTAATCCCTCTTGGAAAACTTTTGAGAACACGATTTTCGAACGAAAATTCAAAGACTTCAGTTTGCTCACGGAAGACGTGAGGAATCAAAGGTCAGCGAAACGTCATTCACAAATCCATCATCCATCATTTAAATGTTGAAAGAAGAATGGATGCCGGATACATCTCTCTTTCCGGTTGAAGTAAAACTTGAATAAAATACGAATTTATCAACGAATATAAATTAATTTGCAACGAGAACTTGTAAAAAAAAAAGACAAACGAGCAGCAGCGAAGCGCACGAAATTTCCACATTCACAGATCCCCCTTTCGCATACATTGATACGAGAAAAGAGCAATCCAACCAAGTATTTTTTATATCAGAAAACCGGAATGCGTCAACCTAAAATATTATAACAAATCACGGCATTTCACATTACCGATACAACATAAGGCACCTTTTTCGTCGAACGAAAATGTGAAGATAACTCATTTGACACGCGTCCACTTCTTTCCCCAATCGGTGAATAAATGTTTCGACTCGGGCATAAAAAAAAATTAGCCAGTACTGTACTTAGAATTCAAACGAAATCACGGAGACATGGGCCACTAACCAAAGGAAAAGGTTCAGCAAAAGGTTCCTTGATTAGCGTACGGCTTTAATATACTGTATTACAATCTCAATTTTATGATATCCTCCAAGACAGGCCAAAAAAATAACCATTCATCTACGGCGCCCGAACACCAAAGAACCCCCTAGGATCTCGTTGGCTCACTATTCTGCGATCCACGAATGATAGGATCCATCAAGAAAATAAAACCCCTCACTTCCTAATTAGAAAAAAAATTATCAACAATTTCCGATACCAAAGAACAGGATTTCAGCGGATGGAATCAAAAAAATTCAAGAAACGCTCATTGAAAACCGTCGACACTTAATTTTCTTTCAAGTAAACTCTTCGAGCTTTCATGCGGTCCACAAAAAAATGCAGAAATCTGGACGGAATCAAATGAAAACCGTTTCAAAAAAGAAAACCTCGCGGTTTCATAGATTTGCCAATAGACACGAACTAACACTTGAAAAACAAAATTACGATCCACAAGAAAATCCCAGGAAAAGTCTACAGAAAGAAAGCGGCGGGGAGAAAAAAAAAANTTTCTGAAAGCTGAAAAAAAGTATCACCAAGCAGGTAATTTTAAAGTTCACCCTCAAACACAAAGCAACACCTAATTTGCCGAATCGTATCAAGTCACCTCAAGGGAAACCCATTGAATTCCGTACTACATCATTTAAATTGGGAAAAAATTAAAAAGGTCTCGCGAAGAACGCGCTCAGTTTTACTCAACGGCATTCGATAATTAATCCCTCTTGGAAAACTTTTGAGAACACGATTTTCGAACGAAAATTCAAAGACTTCAGTTTGCTCACGGAAGACGTGAGGAATCAAAGGTCAGCGAAACGTCATTCACAAATCCATCATCCATCATTTAAATGTTGAAAGAAGAATGGATGCCGGATACATCTCTCTTTCCGGTTGAAGTAAAACTTGAATAAAATACGAATTTATCAACGAATATAAATTAATTTGCAACGAGAACTTGTAAAAAAAAAAAAGACAAACGAGCAGCAGCGAAGCGCACGAAATTTCCACATTCACAGATCCCCCTTTCGCATACATTGATACGAGAAAAGAGCAATCCAACTAAGTATTTTTTATATCAGAAAACCGGAATGCGTCAACCTAAAATATTATAAAAAATCACGGCATTTCACATTACCGATACAACATAAGGCACCTTTTTCGTCGAACGAAAATGCGAAGATGATAACTCATTTGACACGCGTCCACTTCTTTCCCCGATCGGTGAATAAATGTTTCGACTCGGGCATAAAAAAAAATTAGCCAGTACTGTACTTAAAATTCAAACGAAATCACGGAGACATGGGCCACTACCCAAAGGAAAAGGTTCAGCAAAAGGTTCCTTGATAAGCGTACGGCTTTACTATACTGTATTACAATCTCAATTTTATGATATCCTCCAAGACAGGCCAAAAAAATAACCATTCATCTACGGCGCCCGAACACCAAAGAACCCCCTAGGATCTCGTTGGCTCACTATCCCGCGAAACACGAATGATAAGATCCATCAAGGAAATAAAACCCATCATTTCCGAACTAAACAACAACAAACAAAATATCAACCATTTCCGATACCAAAGAACAGGATTTCAGCGGATGGAATCAAAAAAATTCACGAAACGCTCATTGAAAACCGTTGACACTTAATTTTCTTTCAAGTAAACTCTTCGAGCTTTCATGCGGTCCACAAAAAAATGCAGAAATCTGGACGGAATCAAATGAAAACCGTTTCAAAAAAGAAAACCTCGCGGTTTCATAGATTTGCAGACACTTAATTTTCTTTCAAGTAAACTCTTCGAGCTTTCATGCGGTCCACAAAAAAATGCAGAAATCTGGACGGAATCAAATGAAAACCGTTTCAAAAAAGAAAACCTCGCGGTTTCATAGATTTGCCAATAGACACGAACTAAACTTGAAAAACAAAATTACGATCCACAAGAAAATCCCAGGAAAAGTCTACAGAAAGAAAGCGGCGGGGAGAAAAAAAAAAAAGATGTCGACTAACGCATAAGTTGGCGAGGTTTCGTTGGTTCGCCAACCACGAACTAAGACTAAAAAAATGACGATCCACAAGAAAACCCCTCAGAAAAAAATAATAAAAAGACAAAAAGAAAGAAAAAAGGAAGGGAGAACCAAAAAAAAAATAATAAGACGTCGACCAATGCATAAGTTGGCGATCCCCTAAGCTTTATTTTCTCTCTCTCTCTCTCGTTCCATGCTCGCAACAATGGGACCCCGCGAGCATCACGTACGGACGCCGACCGCATTTTTGGCCTCGTCCAGAGCCGCCATCAGGTCAGCGCCGACATGCGTCGCTCGGGTGACTCACACGATTCATCACGGCACGAAATACCTGTCCACTTCAAGGCTCTTCCTTCCCGACACCTTCCCAGCGCCATGAAAACGTGCGTCGGCTACGTAAAATACACCTCTACCTACTACCACTACAGTTGAAACTCTGTAAGTCGAATTTCTAGGGACCAGGAAAAAAAATTGAGAACCCCTCTTAAAACTAAAAACCTCCAAAGGTCAACTCCTTTGTTGGGGAAAACAACACTCCTCTACACGTTTTTTTTCACACCCTTTAGTATTTACTCCTATAAGACCCGGATTTGAACGAGGAACAATAGTTTACACCTTGCTGAACTTGGAGGCAGGGGTTCATTTGCTATATCTGTCTTTCAATTCCTTGCAAGATGTATCACATTATTTGTTTTAATTATTTTTCTCTTCCATATTTTAAGAAAATAATAACCAGAAGGCCTCAGAAAATTTGACTTACAGAGGATTCAGAGAAAAAGACTTCGAGTTTGGGAGGTTTTTAATGTATTGATTCTAAGGAAATTCAGACAGGGACTTGAAAAAAATTCGACTTAGGGATGAATTCGACTTGGGGAGGTTCGACTTGTTGAGGTTCACCTGTACTACTCACTACCCACCCAAATGACTGACTGACTGACTGCCTTCGAGAGTCGTAAAAATCTTCCCCGGTCCGGCGACACCAGATGCCCCCAAATGAAAACTAGAATATATTTATTTAAAAAAAAAACATCGAGCAATTTTTGCCTCTGATGACCGACTTAGTTTCACAGCAAAAACCTAGGTTAAAGTTCAGATTTTTGCAGTGTGCCTCCGCCACACTGAAGAAAAATTCGCCGATGAGTAAATTTGAGGTTCTCAACTGTTGCTTCACAAAGCCTTCACGAAAAGGATGCTTCATGTACAAACGACGCAACATTTTGCTAAGGAATCGATACACAGTATACAGCAGAATACGTTATAACGAACCTCATCATACCGAATTATTGGTTACAACGAAATCGTTTTTCAGGTTCCTGTCAATCAAATCTTGTAATGGGAGCTTACATTGATAACGAAGTTTTTTCCCCAGTCTCAACAGCTTCGTTATTTTAACGCAATTTAATAGTAATTTCTAAAATAATATATTCTGGTAATTTTTCGGCCAAAAATATATTTTACGCACAAGTACAATTTGAAAATCAACGTGGAAGTTACACTTCCGTACAGTGTTTAATCGGTTTAAAACCAAGTGGCAAAGATTTGTTCAGAGAGTTCCCAAAAATATGTTCATCAGATAACTTTCATGAACAGCAATCCTCCGAATTTTCGCGAATCGCTTTCGGTTGAACGTCCGTCCTTTCCATGACATCAGGACAAAAAGTAATTATGAGATGTTATTCTTTTCAAAATCCCCGACACCCAATTTTCCATATGAGAATAGAAGATGGAAAAAATCTTGCATAAACTAAAATAATCTTCCATTCAACTGTGATATATTCCATCTTCCCTTTCGCAAAAAGCGCTCTTCAATAGGGCAGAATGCATCCAGGTCCATAACCAAGATTTAATCCGTGCCTCTGACCTCAAGATCGCATTCTTTCCACGCAATAAAAACCGTAGTAATGCCGATTCGTCACACAATTTTTTTCCATTTTGACCTACGAAAAAGCAGGGCACATCCAAAATCCAATAGCGTCCACGAAATGACTGAAAAATGCAGGGAAATTGTATGGCTAAGAACGTGTATGCGTTCAAATTCTGTAAACTCAAGAAACGCATTCCAACTGGCGAGCAGGAATCTCAAAATGACATTACAAAAGAAATTTAGAAAATGCTGATCATTCGAAGTTCACGAATACAACCATTCAAAAATTTTGTTTTTCCTTCAATATTTTCCAAGGATTAAATTCTTCGCGATTTGACATGGAAGAAAACTGCGAGTTGAATTTGTGGTTCATTTCATTTTTCAAGGCAAGCAGCACATTAGCAGAGAGACAGGTTCAAGATAAGATGAGTACTGCATTCGGTATACAAATTTTTCCCTCCTAATTTCATAAGAGAGACTTCGAAATTATGACAGGTCTTAAATTATCTGTCCTGGAAATACTTAACAGTACAGTAGTGGGTCCCAGCATTACGAAAGTAATCAGTTCCAGGATGGGTTTCGTTATGCAAAATTTTTGTAATGCGAAACGCGATTTTCCTTACGGTTGAATCGTAAATCATTCTATTCGTTCCAGTCACACACGAAAAAATCATGATAAACCATTTTAGAAAATTTAGATAATTGAATCATTATGACGAATTTGTTCTCTGACCTTCACAAATTGCAAAAACAACAAAAGAAAAAAATTTCATTTTCTTCCTTCGCTCAATTTTTGAAAAAGTTTCGAAGTTTTAGTCAAAAACTGTTTGAAATTTCAGCAGTTTCCGGCAGTAATTTTCGTCATGTGAAACAACTTCGTTCTGTGAGTCACTTTTTGAACATAAATTCTTCAGATGTTTTCGTTGCGCGGGACTCGCTGTGTTCATCACCCATCGCCCACGAAATGTCAGTCGACTGTGTGTTAAAAACCATGAGGCTCAATAGGACTTAATTTTTCTCAGGCTCCTAGGAGTTCTTTGTAACGACATTTTACAGCGCGGTGAAACAGATAGCAGATCATTAGATATTCCTGGCATCTTAATCCAAAAATTAAAATTATATTTTGCGCTCCTCGCGACTTTCGTCGATCAGATGCTCGCACACGAAATTTATTTTTCGCTGAGTGTCGCTGGGCTTTTGAAAATCGAGAGAGAACTTCAAGTAAATCGCGGAGGGATCAGTGACCGATTCTGATGAAAATCTTCTCTTCAGCATTCAATCCCTACCTAAAAAGTAAACCTCGGGTGACAAAATTGAAATAATTCGGGTAAAATAAGATTTTGCGCTCCTCGCGAGTTTCTTCGATCACATATTCTTACCTGTGATTTATCTCCTGACGATTGTAGCAGAGTTTTTGAAATCGAGAGAAGTTTTGAAATGCATGCGATAGGAATCCCTGATAGATTCTGATGAAAAGCTCTGCTTCAGCGTTCCCCAAAAGAAAACAATCAGGGGGAAAACCCCTTTTTCTTTCCTGCTTTCAAGCGTGCATTTTAAGTTCGGCAGTCCCTTTTCTTAAACGGACATTCTATAAAAAGAAAATCGTTTTTTTTAACGGGTAAAAACAAAAAAAAAGTCACACTCTCCAATTTTGAATTTTCTTTCACTTCTTACGCAATACCGGTCGCAAATCTCACTCAAGCAAAAGAAATGCCCAGAGATTTCGCCGAGATACGGACTAGACTCCCCCCGCTGACGGAGGACGAACGCGAAGATCGTGACCAGAATCGAGTCCGCGGCCTCGTTCAACTCCGGGTCCGGGAAATTCGTGGGCAACTTCCCAGTGTCCAACGCGATAATGAAAAGGAATCTAAATACATATACTGCACTGTATATATCACACTGTACAGGGTAACGTAAAATCCCGTTAAAACGAACATCGCTTCAACGCATTTTTGTTATATCGAATTTTTGTCTTGGTCCCCGGAGTTTCCCATAGGTACCATGTTATAAAAATCTCATTTTAACGGATTCATTTCAGGCTGTAATGGTAATGATATTTATTCTAACTATTTCTTTTAATTTCTTCAAAGATGCACTTGGAACGTACGTCAGGTGTACAGTGTGCCGTAAAATTCCGTCACAACGAACCTCGTTCTGCCAAATTTTCGTGATACTGCATCGAATTTGTTCTTGGTCCAGGCAGCTTCCCATAGGCGCCTTGTTATAAAAATCTGCTTTGAACGAATTACTTTTAGACTGTAAGGAAAGTACTATTTATTCTATCTTTCTGTTTTCAATTCTTTGGAAATGTACGGTGCAGTACTCAGAAAGTATGATACTTCTTGAATTACATATTTTAAAAGTGCTTCAAAGTATTCATCACCCATTTCCCACAAAATTTCTGTCTAAAATGTGTTAAAAACCATGAATCTCGGTACAACGAATTTTCATAGCTTCGAGTTTTTCATTAAACGGCGGCTACGAAGTCCCAAATTGAAAAAACCCGGACACAAGGGACATCATAACCGGAAAGCTGCATCATACTGTATCTATCCGTGAACTCGAATGAAGGGAGATAAACTTTAAAAATACTCGAGTCGATTGCCTCATTAAAACCCTCGCATCAGCAAAAAAAAAAAAAAAAAAAAAAAAAAAATTGAAACTGATGTACCCTACTCAACCCTTCTTAAAACGCAGAAGTTCCACGGATCGGAGTAAAAAGCCCTCCATACGGAATCTCGTCCAAAAACACCGAACGCATCACAGAACAACTTGAAAATGTAAGACCGAGTACAATACAGCTAGCTACACGAATCGGGTAAAAGGGGGCTTCTTGCGTATGACCTAGAATGGCTCCGAGACAAGGATTTGGAACACACATTTATCGCGCAATCGAAGAAGAAGCAGGAAAAAAAGAAATACAATCGCCTCGAAAAGCTCCCTTGAGTTGACACAATGTTGGGCCAGCAATAGCATGCAAGGCACGTTGCTGGCAGGAATTACCTCATGAATTACCCCGGCAAAACAAGCCTAGGTGACTCACGCACGTGCCTCTACTTCCGATATTACTACTTTCCTAGGAAAAAAAAGAGGCCGGAAAAAGGGGCGTTTGACAATTTTATGGCCTTTTCGGGGTCCTGTAGTCCATAATTTTTGTTGGAAGAATCGAGATACAAAGAATGTGATTCTTGCTGCTTGTGCCATACAGAGAAGTACTACTGTACGAACTTCTCATTGTGGCGAACGTTTTCTGACATCCTCGCACTTTTCTCCCCGAAGAAAAAAAATCCATCTCTCAAGGCAGAACAACATAATGTGGATATCCAAGAAAAGTAGAAAATCAGCATCTCTTCATTACGATTGCCATTACCAATTCTTACAATTTTACAATTTTTATCCTAGGCAGAGAGAGAGTAGATGTCGCGAGAATAAAAAAGGAAAACAAAATAATTCTGATTCCACGAAAAAAGAAAAGTACTATCTTTCTTTCCCTCAAAGAACAAGATCCTTTCTATGCATTTCAAAAGAATGATTACGTCACAGTGGAAATCGTCCTGGGGAAACGAATTAAAATGCTGAAAAAGGGATTTTCATCAGAATCGATCACTGATCCCTCGCCGATTCAGTTCAAAATTTTCCTCGATTTCCAAAAACCCCGCTTCACTCGGCGAAAAAGTAATTACAGGCACGAACATCTGATCAAGGAAAGGCGCGGGGAGTAAAATCAGAATTATATTCCTTTCGGACTTTCGTTTCGTAAGAGCAAAACGTTTAGGTCACGTGCATCGAAAAAAAAAGTGTTATTCTTCGCGGCTCCTCGAATTTGCGTTTGATTCATTTGTCACACTTGTGCTGAACTCTTACAAGAAAGAAACTAACTAGAAATCATGTATCCGTCGAAAATTTCTGACTGCATCACCATTCTATTTTAATGACGCATGTTCTGTTACAATTTCCGAAATCAGTCAGGAACTTTTTTCATTGTTACATCTGTTACTCACATGAATTCGGTCGAATATGAGGGTTAGCTCGTATATTTGTCAACTTTCTTCATTTTTATTTTCCTGGAATAAATGCAGATCGATGTTTTTTCATTCACAAAAGGATAATTGCCAATTTTATCATCACTATTCGAATTCCCGTCAGCCAGGTTGAAATCGAGAAGGGATAAAGAGTTAATTTCCTCTAAATCTGCATTTCTTCGTAATCCTCTTCCTATGACGGGGAATATTAGAGTTATTTTCCTAATAAAACGGATAAAAATTAAAGTAATTTCCTATGAAACAAACGAAGTGAGTCATTTTCCTGTATAACGAATACAATTTCAGCTATTTTTCCTGTAACCGAATAAAATTAGTTATTTTCGTATAAAACGAATAAAATTTGAGTTATTTTCCTACATACGAATGCTCCATGCACTTCCACACAGATCCAACTACATTTACTGCGTACAGATACAGTAAATTTTAGATGAATATTATGTATATTACGCGCAGTTTTTAATTTCAGATAAATAAAAATTTCCTCATGAGAAGTGTGCTCCAAAAACAAATTCGCATTGATTTTGGAGATTCACGCATTCGGTGAAACTGAAAATGATCCTTGCCCTAAAACTACAATTGACGAGCAATACGTTGCGCAAATCAGACTTGGAGTTGAATCAAGCCGATAACAAATAAACCGAGGCCAGAATTCTGACTCGTAAATGCAAATATCCAAAAAAAAAATTGACATCCAGGCACAGAAGAAAAAAAAAACTTTCTCTCGCACCACATCAGCCTCGAAATTTCACAAGGATTTCACAACATCGCCAAGTCCAATGCGCGAAGATGCTGCAAGAAACCACACAAAAGCGGGTCGAAAAAGCAAGCAAACAAGCAAGCAGCAGCAGCAGCAACAACAACGCAAACAAACGAAGAAAAAAAAGTAGCATCGTGATCCGCATCCGAAATGAATCCCAAAGCAGAGTCAAGCATATATAAACAAGGCATTCGGAACCCAACATTTCCACCGGCTGCAACGCATCACACACGCGCGCAAGGACACCAACGACTCGCTCACGAGATCTAATCAGGGTCCACCACGAGCAAGCTTTTTTTTTTCTTCTTCTTTTTCTTTTCCCCTCAGAAGTAAGAGACACAGGATATGTCCAGCGTATTTATCGCATTCACGTCTCTGCGATAAGCTCCAAAAGGTTAACCTTATTCGAACCCCGGAAAAATTTTTTTTTCTCCTTCAGACAGGTTTTAAAACGATTTAGTCAGCTTCTTTCGTGCACACGGTTAATTTGTCAAACCTCTGGAAACGTAACCGAGTGCCGCATTCGACTCATTTTCCGGAAAGTAATTTTTAAGCGAAAAAATGGTGTCCATCGAAGTAACCTTCGATTTTTTTTAATTATTCAGTAGCACAGTACTTGAGACTAATAACAGGATCTTAATTACCATATTCAGAAAATTCAGTTTTTTCACTGTCCATGCGAAAGGATTTTCTGCAGGTTTGGACGTCGTATGTCACCCATGATGAAGACTGAAATTGATACTGCTCTTCGTACGTATTTCCTCATTCCCTCGGAATAGCCCCTTTTTTGCATATCACTCGAGCTAAAATGCGAATGCGGAATTCGAAAGAAACAACTGATGAACAAAGAAATAACGCCGCGGTCCAACTTATTTTAGATACCAGGTCAATGATAAAGAACGCAACATTTATTTGGAAAGACTTCCAGAATTCAAAAAGGAGACGAACTCACTTTTCAAAAATCGTTTGTGCCTCTTCATTACGTAATAATTTGATAATTGGCAAACGAACATAAATCTCCTGCAACTTCCGAGCGCCCTATTCAACGGGCATAGAGTAAAAGACAAATTTCAGCATACGGACTAAAACTTTCAAGAAAAAGGGACATCTCTCAAACCATGAAAACATTGAGGGACTGTAATCCAGTGCTGCCCGCAGGCCGGATAAGGCCCGCGAAGACGCTTCTCAGTTCCATAGTGTCTTACCCACGAATTCCGAGGTTGAGGCAGCCTCTGATCTAAATAAACTTATCAAAAAATTCATTCGACATTTTTCTTTCAATTCTTGTGAAACTCTACAAGGCTATGTTTGACATTCAATGCGTACGACTGAATTAAATTTTAAACTTTCCATTCATACGGGAAATTTGAAGTCTCTTCAAAATAAATTTGCTCGGGAAAAACGTGTCCCACAAACCTTGCAATAAATGACGTACAGGCTTTTGCAACTCGATAGATGTAATAAATGATTGTCAATTACGTGGCTCCGCCTCTTGAAGGTGGCCCTTGGTCTCATCTGAGGCGGGCAGCAGCACCAAATTTCCTGCTCAATATTTCAAGGTATAAAAAAAACGTTCCGAGAAATGCCATTGAAACCAACACAGGAGAATTAAGAAAGATGACTAGCCGAATGTTATGGATAATGACATGCGAAGCACCGCGTCCCTCGGCCGATAAGTATTTCATCACCCAGTCAAATCAGCCCCCAGACATCGTAACTTGATGAAGGGTCGTGAATCGGTCATCATCCAAGTACTAAACCCAGTCCCTGGAGTACGAGGCGAGCAAGAAAAGCACAAATAATCGCAATTCGGCATGCTGCTCATGAGCGAGTTTTTGTGCGAAAGCCCATGAGTCCCAAGACGGCCCTTCGTACCCTGTGGCACCCTTCTGCGCTGGATGCAAAATTGGGATCTATTTCGCTGCGCATCTCGTCAAGTTGAACTTCACAGTACAGTATTTCCATCACATAAAAAACCCCTTGTATAAAAATATTCTGCGCTGAAGAAAAATTGGAATCTATTTCGCTGCGCATCTGGTCAAGTTGAGCCATAAAGCATTTTTACACATAAAAACCCTCTTGTATAAAAATATAAAAAATCCTTCTGCGCTGAAGGATAAACTGAGATCGACAGTATTTCGTTGCACATCTCGTTGAGCTTTACAGGATTTCTGAACATAAAACCCTCGAAAGACGGGAAAACTATACTGTACTCCAACGGGATTTAGGTTACGAGATCAATGATCATAGTGTGAAACATGATCTCACTCGATTCAGTAAAAATGTAGGGCATTCGACTGGGATGTTTTTCGTCAATCAATTACAGATGCGAACTCCTGTCTGATCGTCGGTCGGACACTCGTAATTAGTCTCATGTGAAATATAATTTCAAATTGAAATACAATATAAAGTTAGCCTTCATTATTTAAAATAACTCGACCAGCATACTTTCTAGGTTAGACACGTCTTCCTCCGAAAATTTGACACAAAACGAGCAGAATTAAAACAGAGCGTCATTATTTACTGTACTGTAATTCTAAAACGTTCTCCGATTTTGAGCTTTTTTTCTCTCAATATTCTCATGGAATGTGATCCGAAAGAAAATACTAACTTGAAAATAAATGCTATACGAAAACTTGCAAATTGACACTTTTTCTACACATGCATTTGTTCTGCTGCTGCGCATGTTCGAACACGGCTTTTCGCACAATTTCAGAAAAATCACACTTTCTAAACGATTTTCGGCACTCACTCGGCAATAATGTACATTAATTCTGAAAAAAAACACGGCCGGTATCGATCGTTCTCGATATTTTCAATTTCGCGTGAAGTGCCAAAACCGCATTAAAATTTAAAGCTTCAATTCACGAGACAGTCATATTATCTACTGTACATATCTTACAAGCGAACGACATCATAAACTGAATAAGTACGCAATTTTTAATCGAAAACGTCGGATTGGCCCGAAAATTGACAATAGGTTATCCCAGTCGTTAAAATCGGTCAGCATTCTAAACATACCATAACGTCCAAGTACGCAAAACAAAAGTGCGAATGATTTAAATCTCCAACGCCTCTTTACGACAATAGCCCGTTCATGACATTTAATTTTCCGGCTAACCCTGACACACGCGGAGCATTTCACAACTTATTTCGAAGTGAAGTACTGTACTGTAAAGTGATCGAATGATCGTCTCAGTTTTATTCTTTCTTCCAACAAAAATTTAGAAAAAATAGGCTTTCCCTCTTGACCTTCAAGGATAAGACGTTGAGTTATGTCTGTGGGCGCAACCAATGAAGTCCCGAAAATGCAGACCAGGTATTTTCGTGAAGGAAGAAAAAACCTGTATTCTCGATAATTCTTGGTCAGAAAAAAAAGAGGAAAGAAACCAGAGAAGAGCGATCCTACGGTTTCATTTCCGATTACAGTGAGTCCACACACGAGGAAAGACCCGCGCAACCAAAAATGCACACAACGGAAAATTTTAGTGGGGAAAAGCGACTCACAAAATGGTGCTTCACTTGACGGAATTTTTCAATCAAAAAGACTTCGATTTCGTCAAAATGTAATTCAAACTTTTGAATTACTTTCAAAATTACAGAGTTGAGAAAAGAAGGGCATAGTTTTGCATCCTCTTGTTTTAAATATTGTAATTCAGAAAGTTAAGAAATTTAAATATTGAAATTCAGGAATTCAAGAGCTAAGGATCACTTCAATTTCATACTCATCAATTTTTAATTCACAGTTTAAAGCTGAAGATTCACACATTTTATAGTTACAACACGGTCTTTTGGTGAGTGTCTGGAACGAACAAAATCACTCACAATGTGCAGGTAATCGAACGGGAAAACGCAATTCACAAAAAAATATTCCGAAAACTAATATAGGAACGAATCAGGTTCGTTGTGCGGGGACCCCTGGTACAAGAAAAAGGAAGGAAATCAGTAGCAAAAATAATATTTCATGCATCAATATTTTTCAAATGTTCATGCAGCAAGGATTACCACAGGAGAGTAACTTACCAGCTTCGAGAACTTCGAAACTCGAGGCTGATATTTAAAAAATATTTTGTATACGCGTACGCTTGAAATATAAACATTCTATGATGCATTCAGTTCAACAATCAACGAAATGCTGTAATTCACAAAATGAAAATTCTGAATTCACCAAAGCAAACGAGTTCTTAAGAACAGAAGTCGATCTCGAAATTTTTACGTCTTACCCCCGGAGATTTCCATAAATTTTTCTTATACAGTACCAACAAAGACAACTTTTTCAACCCCTGAAGAAGTTGAAAGAAAAAAAAAAACTCGAACGTAGCGACGTCACACCCCACCAATTCACCCTGCCCCGAAAAACCGACTCCAATCGAAAATGACAGCAGTCATTATCAAGTCTCGCGAAATCCACCCCACGCGCAATTATCACAACCATCATCATTGCATCGTCGTCCCCATCATTCTCCAAGTGAAGATTGTACAGGGTGGACAAGGAAATATCATACTTGCCAATCTGTTAACAGGCATACATCGTACAGATGTAACATAGGAGCAATCACAACAAACAAAAATTAATTCAATTCGATTATGTTTCAAATTATCTTATTTGTAGCATGACTCTAGATGTGCTTATTCATCAGCAAAATAGCCATGATGACCAACAAAAAAAAACTCCATTTTCAAGACGGTCGCCCCGACAGTTCAAGAAAGGTCATCTCAGCCGATGCTCCGAAGAGCCAGTTCGAGCTCCGTCTCGAGTTTCCCAAGGATCGTAGCAGTTCCGGAAATGTATTGGGATGAAAAAAGAAGGAACACGAGTACGGTACAGCAGTAATAATTTAAATATTTTTTAGCAAACGAAAAATTTGTTATGCCCAAAAAGTGGGCCCACGAACCCACGAAGGTTAAGAATAACATGCGGGTACCTCGAGATGTGAAGATCGCCAATGTGGCAAATTAATTTCCACGAAAAAAAAAGGTTTCCCCATGAGTCACGAAATATTCACCATCACCGTCACTGTGTCGAGTATACTGGGCAACGGGTTCCCACATAACGAAACTAATCCGATTCTGGGGATGCGTTTCGCCATGTGGAATTTTCGTAGTATGAAACGCGATTTCCCGTAAGTTTGCTTTTTAAATCAATTAATGCGTTCTAGAAACTCAACGAATAAAG